TAATTACTGATTTTCAAATGTAACTGCTTCATGTGTGGTTATAAACGAGGTAATCATGGCATTAAGGTTTGGTATACGTTTAGAAGGGAAAAAGAAAGCTGAGGTTTTAGTAAAGCAGAAAAACACTAAGCTTTAAAAATGAAGCCTGAAACCATGGAAAGAGGTTTAACTTCCCTAGTAATCAGGATAATTGCTGAATGCAAATTGAATGCAAATACAAATTGAAACATTAAAGTACAATGTATTGCCCACCATGTTGGCAGAAATGTTAACATCTGATGATTATCCAGCGCGACTGGAGATGTGGGACGCTTTCTTGTGAAAGTGTAAGTCAGTACAACTACTTTGGAGGATAATTTGGCAACATTTTCAGAGTTAAAAATGCTCATGCTTTGTAAACCTACCATTTGTAATCTCTGGATCTGCCCTAGGGAGATAGTCTTGGTTTTTTTTTGTGTGTGTGAATGTCTTCCACAGGGAGATACTCTTAACACAAAGTGGTATGTACAAGCATGTTCAATGCAGCACCCCTATTAATAGCAAACAGTTGGAGGCACCCATCAGTGGGGGAATGGTTAAAAAGGTTATTTTTTTTTTAAGTGCAATGTAATTAACATATGATAAATTTCACCATCTTAAAGTGCACAATTCAGAGTTTTTTAGTATATTCACAGAGTTGTACTACTGTCACCTCTAAATAATTCCAGAACATTTTCATTACCCCAAAAAGAAACTCATACCCGTTAGCAGTCACTCCCCATTTCTCCCTTCTCCCTTCTCCTCCCTTCTCCCATCCCCTGGAAACCACCAATCTACTTTCTGTCTCTGAATTTGCCTGTCCTGGACATTTCATATAAAGAAATGGAATCATACAATCTGTGGTACTTTTTATTTGTCAACAGCTTTATTGAGATGTGCTTCACATACCGCACAATTCACCTTTTTTTTTTTTTTTTTTTTTTTTGAGATGGAGTCTTGCACTGTGGCCCAGGCTGGAGTGCAGTGCTACAATCTCAGCTCACTGCAACCTCCGCCTCCTGGGTTCAAGCAATTCTCCTGCCTCAGCCTCCTGAGTAGCTAGGATTACAGGTACCTGCCACCACGCCCGGCATGTATCATGGGTGGGCATCCTTCACGTTGGCAAAATAAACTTCCAAACTTGACTGCGACTTGTCTCAGATACTCTGGTTTACATAACCATCCTAGTGGGTATGGAGTGGTATCTCATTGTAGTTTTTATTTGCATTTCCCTAATGATTTATGATGTTCAACATCTTTTCATGTGTTTCTCAGCCATTTGTACATTTTCTTTTCCAAAATATCTATTCAATTTATTTATGTGTATTTTTATTTTTATTTTATTTTGTTTGATATTTTGAGATGGAGTCTCACTCTGTCCACCAGGCTGGAGTGCAGTGGCATGATCCCAGCTCACTGCAACCTCTGCCTCTCGGGTTCAAGCGATTCTCCTGCCTCAGCCTCCTGAGTAGCTGGGATTAGAGGTGCCCGCCACCATGCCCAGCTAATTTTTGTATTTTTTTAGTAAAGATGGTGTTTCACCGTGTTGGCCAGGCTGGTCTTGAACTCCTGAACTCAGGTGATCCGCCCGCCTCGGTCTCCCAAAGTGTTGGGATTACAGGCGTGAGCCACCGCATGTGGCCTCAATTTATTTATTTATTTATTTATTTTTATTTTTATTTTTTTTTTGAGACGGAGTCTCGCTCTGTCGCCCAGGCTGGAGTGCAGTGGCCGGATCTCAGCTCACTGCAAGCTCTGCCTCCCGGGTTTACGCCATTCTCCTGCCTCAGCCTCCCAAGTAGCTGGGACTACAGGCGCTCGCCACCTCACCCGGCTAGTTTTTTGTATTTTTTAGTAGAGACGGGGTTTCACCGTGTTTGCCAGGATGGTCTTGATCTCCTGACCTCCTGATCCGCCCGTCTCGGCCTCCCAAAGTGCTGGGATTACAGGCCTCAATTTATTTTTAATTAAAATTTTTTTTAAAAAAAATTTTTAGAGCCAGAATCTTGCTCTGTCACCCAGGCTGGAGTACGTTGCATTATAGCTCACTGCAGCCTCCACCCCCTGGGCTTAAGCAGTCTTCCTGTCTCAGCTACCTGAGTAGGACTACAGTTGCCTACCACCACATCTGGCTGTTTTTTCTTTTTTCTTTTTTCTTTTTTTAAGGCGAGGTCTCACTCTGTTACCCAGGCTGGAATGTAGTGGCACAATCACGGCTCACTGTAGGTTCCATCTCCGAGGCTTAAGCAGTGCACCCACTTCAGCCTCCCACGTAGCTGGGACTAACAAGCATGAACAACCATACCTAGCTAATTTTTAATTTTTTAATTTTTTAATTTTTTTTCCTTTTTAAGACGGAGTCTCACTCTGTCGCCCAGGCTGGAATGCAACGGTGCAATCTCAGCTCACTGCAACCTCTGCCTCCCAGGTCAAGCAACTCTCCTGCCTCAGCCTTCAGAGTAGCTGGGATTACAGGCACTTGCCACCACGCCCAGCTAATTTTTGTATTTTTAGTAGAGACCAGGTTGATGCCTTTACATCTGAGTTTTTGCAAAAGTAGAGACCAGTGTTTCACCACGTTGGCTGAGCTGGTCTTGAACTCCTGACCTCAGGTAATCCACCTGTCTTGGCCTCCTAAAGTGCTGGGATTACACGTGTGAGCCACCACACCTGGCTCCTAGCTAATTTTTAAATTTTTTTGTAGAGGCAGGGTTTTCCTGTGATGCTTAGGCTGGTCTCGAACTCCTGGGTCCAAGTAATCCTCTCTCCTCAGCCTCCCAAAGTGCTGGAATTACACGTGTGAGCTACTGTGCCTGGTCAGAAATACCTATTCAATTTGTGGCTTCTTTTCTTTCCTCCTCCTCCTTCTTCTTTTTTTTTTTTTTTTTAACAGGGATGGGGTCTTGCATAGCCTGGAGTGCAGTGGCTGTTTACAGGTGCAACCATGGTGCACTACAATCTTGAACTCCTAGGCTCAAGCAATCCCCCTGCCTCAGCCTCCTGAGTAGCTAAGACATAAGCAGGTGCCACTGCGCTTGGTTCTGTGGCATTTTTTTGTTGTTTTTGTTTGTTTGTTTGAGATGGAGTTTCGCTCTTGTTGCCCAGGCTGGGGTGCAGTGGCACCATCTCAGCTCACTGCAACCTCCACCTCCCGGGTTCAAACGATTCTCCTGCCTCAGCCTCTTTAGTAGCTGGGATTACAGGTGCCCACCAACACACCCAGCTAATTTTTTGTATTTTTAGTAGAGATGGGGATTTCACTATGTTGACCAGGCTGCTCTCGAACTCCTAACCTCAGGCGATCCACCCGCTTCGGCCTCCTGTGCTGGGATTACAGGGGTGAGCCACCGCACCTGGTTGGTGCTGTGACATTTTTATACTATGCTGCCCAACTGTTAAAAGGAATGAAGCAAATCTGTACATAATAATCCCTGACTAGATCTCTAAGACTTAATGCTAAGCAAAATAGCAAGTAGTAGGATGATATATTATACTACCATAAATTTTATATAAATAAACACACTCAGGTGTGCCATGCATATACTTACACACACACACACACACACACTCACACCCTGTTACTGTTCAGTTAAATATATATATATGTAAGAGGATAGAGAAGGGCCTGATATAATATTTCCCAACCTTTCCAAGATAGTTTGTTACCTTAGGCCAGGAAGAGAGAGAACGAAGATGGGGGTGGAAGTGGGGTATGATCTAAAGGGGCTTTTGTCTTATTTATGACATTTTACATAGTATCCATGTACTGTTTGCTAACAAAAGTGTAAAAGCTCCTTAAAATGTAATTACAACCTGAAAAAATAAGAACATGGGAGCTCTTGGGGAACTGTAGCAGGAGATGGGTTAGAATCCATGCTCCATGCGCCCTGGCAAAGGAATGTGTATTCATTGACTCCTTTTATAGCTCAGCTTTATTTTGTCTGGGGTCCTTCCTCTTTTTCAAAATAATTTTATTATTTTTTAATACTTTGTATCAATTCAAATAGCATGGAGGTTTATAAAGTGAAAATGAACTTACCTCCCCTCTTCACCTGAAACTACCTACCCTAAGGTAGTGTTAGTGCACATCATTTTCCTGCTGAAATTCTGTGTTTGGGTATTATCTCCCACCCACCCAGTAAGCTGTGCTTCCATCTTCTTGTGGTGAAAGCTCCTTCCTTTCTGGGAGAGGGAAGTCTTCATTTTGAAGCATCCGTGGAATAGTCTGCAGGATTACTTTGTGTCACCTCCTACCCAAGATTGTGATGTAGTAGGTCTGAAGTTCTACTTGGGCGTCTTCATTTTATAAAAAGTTCCCGTGGTGATTCTGGTGAACCAACAGAGGATTAAGAGTCATTTATCTAGGGAGTAGCAGGGCAATCATAAATTGTGCCCATGCTGCTGCTTTGGGAATTATTTTTGGTAGCTGCTTTATGAGAATGATGAGCCTGTCAGCTTTATGGAAACATGCCTGAACTTAGATGGTCTGTTTTCTTCCAGGAATTTCACAGGACTTTTACTTTAGGTTATTTTCAGCATTGTGTTTTTGTAACTAAATATTCAACATGGAACTGCTATTTGAGTCTGAGAAAGTGATCATGGATTCTTTTTTGAAAATGATGGAAATAAACGGTACATGGCAAACTTAGCTTGTAAACTCTGCCATTCACATTGAAAATGGGTGGCTATAGTAAAAATGACAGGTGATAAATCTTCACCAGTCAGAGTATCCTTGGGTCTTGATTTAAAATGCTTTTCCTCCCCCACAGCCTGACTTTTGTGCTTCATTTTAGTGTGTTTGCCTGAGATGTGAGCGAGAAATTCATGTGATAGATGTCTCACATCTCCCTAAAATGTGTAAAACGAAGCTGTGCCCCGACCACCTAGGGCACATGTCGTCAGGACCTCCTGAGGCTGTGTCATATCTTAAATTTGAGTAATCTTTCTCATATCTTAAATTTATGTTAAATTTTCTCTTGTAGGTATTCTCATGGGAGCAGTTATAAAAATTATAGAGTTTAAAAAACTGGCGAATTGGAAGGTAGGTTTGCCCTTTGGTTCTTAATTTTAGTAACATTGGTGGTTATGCTGGCTTTTTTTTGATAATTACTTGGCTATCAGTGGAGTTATTTATATTATTATATTATATACCCCATTAATTTTAAATTTTTTAAAATTAGATACAGGTTGATGCCTTTACATCCGAGATTTTGCAAAAGCATAAGTCTCATACTGTTTCAAGTGCACGTGGGAGCACCAATGTCATTTTTTTGTTGTTATTATACTTGCATTTTTGTAATCCTAGGCTAACCTTATTAGGCAGGAAAATTCTCTAATTAGCATTAAACATTAAATACTGTTTATTACTCCCAATTCCATCCTGACAACTGAGGATAATAAAACATACTTGTCTGGTACTGTGAGACACAGTACTTCATATATTGTGGCTCATATTATCCTCATGACGGTCATGTGAGGTGGATTGTCTGGGTATTGTAATATCATCACCCCATTTTTACACATGAAAAAGGTGACACTCAGGGAGATTGGGATGTATTCAGTGTCACAGAGCTAGAAAGAAAGTGGCTGAGTGGAGTCTTGTGTCCAAATCCTCTGGCCTGAATATGCAGTGTTTTCTCCACCATACCACCCCGTCCTCAGTTTGCTAATATACATACCCTTGTGTTAAAGAGGTTATTAGAGTATGAACATCATCCTGGGATGCAAGTACTCATTGAAACTGGAATTTCAATATCAACTTGAACATCCATGTTGAGTAGGGTGAGATTAACAAGTATGCTACAAAATTGATTTTGTGGAGGGAAATAAGATTCATTTCAAAATAGTAAAGAATTATGTGGCTAAAATTGATCACATTTGAGCCCTTCCTACTTTGATGAAGCTCCTAGGTCCTAGGATGATTTGACCTGTGAAACTGTAGAGTATAAAATTAGCAAGACAAACCTTATAGCCTAACATAAAACACAATTTGAAGCTGTTATAAATAGTAGTAATGAAATATTTTATATATTAAATAAATTTTCAAAATGTGTATTGCACTTCGAAGAGTGATAGGACACACCTCTGCTGGGGAGGCCCCAATGGAGCACATTACATGTGGGATCTCTGCCTTCCTGCGACTTGGTTACATTTAACCACTCTAAGAGTGGGTCATGACTGAAGAGCCTTTTTCTACTCCTAGGCTGGATATAGCCTGATGTGTAGATTTTGCCCACTAACCCATTTTGTTTGATCTGATTTAAAAATCATTTGATCAAGGCTGGGCATGGTCGCTCATGCCTATAATCCCAGCACTTTGGGAGGCCAAGGTGGGTGGATCGCCTGAGCCCAGGAGCTTGAGGCCAGCCTGGGCAACATGGTGAAACTGTGTCTCTACAAAAATACAAAAAAAATAAAAAATAAAAAATAAATGATCAAAATTTGAATTGACTGTAAAACAATTAAAAATTGTTAGATTTTGGCCAGGTGTGGTGGCTCATGCCTGTAATCCCAGAACTTTGAGAGGCCAAATCGTGTGGATCATCTGAGGTCAGGAGTTTGAGACCAGCCTGGCCAACACGGTGAAACCTTGTCTCTACTAAAAATACAAAAAATTAGCTGGTTGTGGTGGCACATACCTGTAGTCCCAGCTACTTGGGAGGCTGAGGCACAAGAATCACTTGAACCCGGGAGGTGGAGGTTGCAGTGAGCCAAGATTGAGCCACCGCACTCCAGCCTGGGTGACAGAGTGAGGCTCCATCTCAAAAAAAAAAAAAAAAAAAAAGTTAGATTTTAAAATATTACCAGTCTATATAAAATTCTGGAAATTTTACATAAAATTCAGAACTTCTAGCTTCTCTTGGAAAAGCAGAAGCTCTCTTAACACTAGGTCCAGCAGTGTTCAGAGACACTGAGCAGAGGGGCTTATCTTCCAGGTCATGAAATGTGGCCCCAAGAAACCTTTGCTTGTGACCCCTGCTGTAAGCAGTGGGAGTAGGGGAATGGGAGGTGATCTTTCACTTCTAGTTTTATATGCATCGTTGTTACTGAATTTTTGTTTTCCAACAGATGTTACTTTTCAAGATAAAATAATAGAATGTATTTAACAGTACAGACCATGAAACAAGTTAGGTGATGGATGTGATAAAGTGCCTGAAGTGTCATCCAGATAACCAGTGCTTGACCTCAGAAAAGAAGGCTAGATTGGGGATGCCAGCATGTACCAGTGGTCCCACCTACTTGGGAGGCTGAGGCAGGAGGATCGCTTGAGCCCAGAAGTTTGAGGCTACAGTGAGTTATAATTGCACCACTGCAGTCCAGCCTGGGTAACAGAGCAAGACCCTGTCTCTAAAAAAAAAAAATTGAGGCAGGCTTCCTGGAGGAGCCTGCATTTGTGGAGAGTCAGAGTGAGAAGCAGGATATCTGCCTGGAAACCAGATGTGCAGGGAGCAGTCGGAAGTCAGAAAAACAAGAGGAGCTGGTAGTTTCTTTCCCTGAAGTTCTGATTCAAAACTGACCTGCTGGGTCTGCATTCTACCTGTATTATCATGTGCTTAATATTTTTCTATTAACTTGCTTTTTAAATATATATATATATATAATTTATTTATTTATTACTTTCTTTTTTTGACACAGAGTCTTGCTCAATTGTCCAGGCTAGAGTGCAGTGGTGCAATCTCGGCTCACGGCAACCTCTGCCTCCCGGGTTCAAATGATTCTTCTGTCTCAGCCTTCTGAGTAGCTAGGCAGGAGAACGGGCATGTGCCACCGTGCCCGGCTAATTTTTGTAGTTTTAGTAGAGACAGGGTCTCACCTTGTTAGCCAGGCTGGTCTCAAACTCCTGACCTTAAGTGATCTACCCACCTTTTCCTCCCAAAGTGCTGGGATTACAGGTGTGAGCCACTGTGCCTGGGTGTGGCTAATTTTTTAAAAAAAATTTTGTAGAGACACGATGTCACTATGCTGCTCAGACTGATCTCGAACTCCTGAGCTCATGTGATCCTCCCACCTTGGCTTCCCAAAGTTTTAGGATTACAGGATTGAGCCACCATGCCTGGCCTATATATTTATTTTCTTATTTTGTTTTCTTTTTTTTTTTTTTTGCGGGGGCTTGGCGGGGAGTGGACAGAGTCTCACTGTGTTACCCAGGCTGGAGTGCAATGGTGTGGTCTCAGCTCACTGCAACCTCCGCCTCCCAGGTTCAAGCAGTTCTCCTGCCTCAGCTTCCTGAGAGGCTAGGATTACAGGTACCTGTCACCACGCCCAGCTAATTTTTGTATTTTTAGTAGAGACAAGGTTTCACCAAGTTGGCCAGGCTGGTCTCGAACTCCTGACCTCGTGATCCATCCACCTTGGCCTCCCAAAGTGCTGGGATTACAGGCATGGGCCCCCACGCCTGGCCATGTTTATTTTCAAGGCAATGTTACAGTACTATTTCCATTCAGAAACTAATATTGTTTTGTAAACATGATAAAAATGAAGTAGTACAGGTGCCTGCTGACATCAGAGGTCAAGTCTGCTCTCTGTGGAGGGAGATCAGCACGTTAGAGCCCTTAGAGGCGGTATTGCCATCCGAAGGTGTCTTGGATTTATTTGGACCTGAAGAAATAATCAAGAGGGCTGTCTCAATCCGTGAGGTCAGTGGTATTTGACACACACTGCTCAAGTGCCACCTAAAATCACCTCAGACCATTTTGCGGGAGCCATTGCCAAAAGGAACTATAACACTATTTCCCTGAAAGGCGGTGTGTTCATAAGGGCTGCAGTAACAAATTACCACAAACTAAGTGGCTTAAAATAACAGAGATTCATTGTCTCACAGTTCTGGAGGCCAGAAGTGAGAAGTCAAGGTATCAGCAGGACCGGGTTCCCTCCCAAAGACTCTAGAAAATAATTTTTCATTGCATCTCCCAGCTTCTGGTGGCCCAGGTTTTCCTTGGCTTGTGGCCGCATCACTACTGTCTTTGTCTCTGTGCTCACATGGGCTTCTTCTACATGTCTCTGTGTGCCTCGTTCTGTCTCTTACAAGTTGATGTTTGCTGCCTTTGGCCTTCCTTTATCCAGCGTAAGGTCATCTAGATCCTTACCTTCATTAGATCTGCAGAGACCCTATTTCCAAGTAAGGTCACATTCTGAGAGTCCTAGTGGACAGGAATTGGGGTTGGGGTTGGGGGATACTATGTAACCCCACTATAGGTAGATTCTCCTTTTTCCCAGGGTGGGAGGGGTAGTTTTTGTACCTCCAAAAGGCTGTATATAGTGGTCCTGCTGCACAGATCCTGAGAATAGGTTGCCCCACAAAACACAGAGCTCGGCTCATTTCTTTTCACATAGTCCTAGTCTGAATCATGAGCTTCTTGTACATGCTGCTATTTTAAGACTTAATAAGGCATTTCAGAAGTCATCATTTGCTTCTATTTTGAGCCTTTTTTGAATTTTTTTTAGTCTTTATGGTAACAGCTGTACATTTGTAAGAATACATTTAGGCATTCTTTGGAATAGGGATTTTGACAAGAAATCAGACTGTCAAAATTGTGACATGGGAAAATATTCATATGAAAAAGGGCCTGATTTTGCATTTTAAAAAGACTATGTATTACACATAACCATTTTGGGCTTGAGGACCAATATATATTTCCCCCAAATTCTGCCAACAAAACTAGAGAGATATTCTAATAATATAGAAAGTGAAATTGTTATTGTTTCATCCCTCCAAAGTTGGCTGTATTCTGGAAACACCATTCATAATGGCACTTAATAATCAAATCTGGAAGCAAGGTGCAATGGTTTGGGCGTTTGTCTCCCTAAACCTCATGTTGAAATTTGATTCCAGTGTTGGAAGTGTTTGGGTCATGGGGGTGGACCCTCATGGATAGACTGATGCCCTTGCTGGGGGAGGGAGGTGCATGAGTTCTTGCTCTGTTCGTTCCCTATACAGCTGATTGTTAAAAAGAGCCTGGTCCCACCCCTCGCCCCCCCTTTCTTCCTCTCTCGCCATGAATCTCTGCACACTCTGGCTCCCCTTCTCTTCCCCCATGAGTGGAAGCAGCCTAAGGTTCTTATCAGATACCCAGTCTTGAACTTTTCCAGACGGCAGAATCATGAGCCAAATAAATGTTTTTCCTTTGTAAATTACCCAGCCTCAGGTGTTCTTTTATAGCAAGACATATGATAAGGGGCTGTCTTTGTAGCCAAGTCTCAAGTCGAAAGAGCATCCAGTGGGGACTGTTTCATCACATCAGACTTTGGAAAACAGCAGAGTTGTCTGTGATAAGCAGAAAGAAGGCAGAGCTATTTTAACCATGTGTAGGGTTTCCTGTTCCTCTGAGTGGATTGTTTTAGGATTTGCCATTACCTTTTTCCCGGAGGAATTCCAGTTTGTAGACTTGTTTTTGAAAGTATGCAACCAGAATTGAAATTTTCTAGATTCAGATGAATTTTCTTTCTGTACTAAGGAATAAAAAACATACTACTCTGTGTTTGGAAGCAGTTTGTTGTGCTATTTCTTTTCGCCGATTACCTTTAAAATCCTTGTCTTGACCAGGTGTGGTGGCTCATGCCTGTAATCCCAGCATTTTGGGAAGCTGAGGTGGGAGGATTGGTTGAGGTTAGGACTTTGAGACCAGCCTGGGCAACACAGCGGACCCTGTATCTAAAAAAAAGAAAAAAAAAATAGCCTGGCATGGTAGCATGTACATGTAGTCCCAGCTACTCAGGAGGCTGAAGTGAGAGGATCACTTGAGTCCATGAGGTTGAGGCTGCAGGGAGCTGTGATTGCACCACTGCACTTCAGCCTGGGCAACAGAGCAAGACTCTGTCTCAAAATAATAATAATAATGATGAAAATAATAAAATACAGTTTCATTTTTTTTTTTTTTTTTTGGTGGGGGAATCTCTCATTCTGCTTGATTTTATTATCAGGTAGTTATTTAAACATTATACGTTTCCATTAGACCAGGCCCTGAAAGAAGAATTATTTTGGCTCTTTATTGATGAATTTATTTCTTAATTACACAAATTCCATGCCTCTTAAGATTCCCATTTTCTATTTACAGGAAGAAGAAATGTTTCGTCCAAACATGTTTTTCCTCCTCCTGCTTCCCCCTATTATCTTTGAGTCTGGATATTCATTACACAAGGTGAGACTCAGGCCCACATTGGTGCTTTGGTCTGGACAGTTTCTCATGTTTGTAAAGCAAGTTCCTTAAAAGCTTGGGTGTTAGCTCTGCTTCTTCCTGGTTGTACTCAGTGGAAGCTGGACTGCAGTGCCTGAATTCTGGAGAGGAGCAGACATGATCAATTGGCTGCTTTATTGGTTTCAGGCAGTGTGGCTCACTGAGCCAGTGTTTGCCATAAATGGGTGCTTTGCCTAGAAAGATGGCTGAAGTGATGTTAAGTGGCTCACAGATGATGCATTGACTCGTCTTCCTGGACACAGACTGATAGATGTAAAGAGAGTAGACTGTGTCCTGGGATGACAGGGACATGTGTCCCAGGGCTTTTGTTTCTTTCAGCTCCCCCACTGGGGCCTTTCTTACCTCCTCAGGCCCATCCGTCCTTTCTTGTCTCCTTCTCAGTGTCCTCCCCTGGCCTCAGACCCCAGCTTGATATTCTCCTTCATCCCTCAACCTCTATCTCTTCTCGCCCACTCCCTGGTCCAGCCTTCCTAGTCCCACAGTTGCCTGCCCATCCTTGCCTCCCTGCCTTGGTGAGCAGTGGCACTAGCCCCTACCCACTTCTCTGCTTTGGCTTGGCCTTGATGGCCATTGCCTTGCAACTCCCAGTGTGAGGTGCTGTTTTTGTTTTTGTTTTTGTTTTTTGAGATGGAGTCTCGCTCTGTCACCCAGGCTGGAGTGCAGTGGCATGCTCTCGGCTCACTGCAACCTCCGCCTTGCGGGTTCAATCAATTCTTCTGCCTCAGACTCCTGAGTAGCTGGGATTACAGGCACACGCCACCATGTCCAGCTAATTTTTGTGTTTTTAGTAGACACGAGGTTTTACCATGTTGGCCAGGCTGGTCTCAAAACTCCTGTCCTCAAGTGATCTGCCCACCTCAGCCTCCCAAAGTGCTGGGATTACAGGCGTGAGCCACCACGCCCGGCCCCTAGTGTGAGTCTTTCTGCCTGGGCAGGAGCTTCTCACTTTTAAGCCTGTTTGTGTCTGTGCGTGGTATTTTCCTTGTCTGTGAGTTTTCTTTAAACATAAATGTATTTAAGTTTTAAAATAAAGTGATTCAACTTAAAATACTAGTATTAATAATACAACAGCTATTTTGTGAATGTGATTTTTAAAAAACCTGAAGATTGGAAAGTTTACGCCAGCCCTTGGAGAGAGGAAAGCCAGAGACACAATACAGGTCTAATCATGCGCTGCCCCCTACAGGTTTCTTTTTGGTAAAGTAAAAACCAAAAACCCCAAAACCCTACCTCCCGGGGTGCTTTGAGATTCACACTAGATGAAAGAATGTAGGCAAAGCACCACCCACCACACTAAATAAATGGAGTGCTGCTTCTTGTTATTAATGATAAAAATGTTATCTATTATTAATAACAATACCACCTCCAGTAGTAGTAATAATAATTTATTAAACTTAATAGGTCAGGCCCAGTGGCTCATGCCTGTAATCCCAGCAATTTGAGAGGCCGAGGTGGGTGGATCACTTGAGGCCAGGAATTCAAGACCAGTCTGGCCAACATGGCGAAACCCCATCTCTACTAAAAATACAAAAACTAGTTGGTCGTGGTGGTGCATGCCTGTAATCCCAGCTACTCCGGAGGCTGAAGCATGAGAATCATGAGAATCATTTGAACTCAGGAGGTGGAGCTTGCAGTGAGCTGAGATCACGCCACTGCACTCCAGCCTGGGTGATAGAGGGAGACTTTGTCTCAAAAATAAGTAAATAAAAATAAACTTAATTTGTTGTTGACATGGTATAAAATAAATAAATAAACAATTTTTTAAAAACAGGTTAGATTTGTCTAGAAATTTTTGGTAAAAACATAGAAATTAGTCTTTAATTTTCCTGTATTGAAACAAAAATATATTTAGATGTTCAGCCCAGATTTTTTTAAAGTTATTATTTTATTGTACATCTATGCAAAGAAAAAGTGAAAAGAAAGTTTAATGTAAAAAATATTCCCAAGTTTTAGAAACTGTTACTGACATCAGATAATTTTTAACAAGGAAACATAAGTTGAAGGTCACCATGTCTTTCTGTCTGTCACTTTGTAAACAAATCTTAACTGTAAGCAGATTATGAAAATATTTCAAAACGTGCTGAGGAAATTGACTTGATTTTGACTTAAAAACATGACATTTTGAATATTAGAGAATGTAAAGTTTTTATTTTCTATTTTTTTTTTTAGAGGGAAGGGAGAGAAACTTGTTCAAAATTTGAGGAAAGTAATAGTTTTTTAGAAAAACATTTTGTTGAAGATGACTTTCCAGCAGATAATGTGACAATTTATATGAAAGGGACTTATAGGATTATGAAATGCTAATTCTGAAACTTCTGTCTACTTTCTACCCTGCCCCAAAGATGACAGGAAGTAAAGTTGGAATATTTTATTTTAATATTGTGATATTTGCTAATGTAAATTTGGACTTAGAATACAGATTTCAGTAAGGTTATGATCAGTTGATATGCATTAGCTAGGCAGCAACTGGTTCTTTGAATTGTAAATATTACGCAAATCATAGGATGTTAATTATGTCAAAGAGAAACAGTAAATTTGCTTTATCTAGCAGAGGGAAGTTCTTGTAGTGTGGTAACTTTAATTTGGGTAAATTTCAAGATCCAGATTAATATTAACCAAGTATATAAATTATATCAACATTAGATCTCTGCAAACAGGTCAAAACTGGTTAATCTTTTTGTTTGTTTGTTTGAGATGGAGTTTTGCTCGTTAGCCAGGCTGGAGTGCAATGGCATGATCTCGGCTCACTGCAACCTTGCCCTCTCGGGTTCAAGCGATTCTCCTGCCTCAGCCTCCTGAGTAGCTGGGATTACAGGTGCCCACCAGCACACCGGCTAATTTTGTATTTTTAGTAGAAATGGGGTTTCTCCATGTTGGTCAGGTTGGTCTCGAACTCCTGACCTTAGGTGATCCACCCGCCTTGGCCTCTCAAAGTGCTGGGATTACAGGCTTGGCCACTGAGCCCAGCCTAATCTGTTTTTAAATAACAAAAGAAAACAGCGATTTGCAAAGAGAAACTCATAGATTGAAAGCCCTTTGTTTTGAAAAACCAAATCATTGTGCTTGCCTTGAGTTATTTTAAATTCTTTGTGCAGTAAAGATTGATATGCCAAATAAAGGAATTGAATGTCAAATTATAGGCAGCCAAGTCAAAATTGCAGCTTCTAGGAGGTAGGCTTAGTGGGGCAGTCAGTGTTCAGCTGAGGACACTCTTTCACGAGTGGGCTTTAAAATAGCAGGTCCTAATATCCCTGGTTTGGCGATTTCTGAGCTGAAAACAAGAATCTTGTTCACACCCACAATCGGGAGTGATTAAAGCCTCTTGGTAACTCCTAAGTGGAGTCCACAGGGTTATGATAACTAGCTTAATTTTCTTAATTTTATGGAAATTTGAAAGATGTTACCATGCTGCTTGGACTTGAATATTTTCTCTTAAATGGTGTGAAATATAGATAGAAACATTTTATCTGTCATAGTTAATGATGATACTAACAGAGTGAAGTAAAATTGTTTAAAAGACCTGGCCAGGAAAAAGGAATATCTGATAGTGTATCTTGGTATCCTAATTGTGTGGACTTTGGACATGAAACACAGTTAATTCCATCAGTGCCTGTCTGTTGGGCATCCTCCATCTGAGGGACATTATGTCAGGGACTGTGTTGTGCGAAAGCAGATGTGGTCATTGCCCAGAATGAGCCTGCAGCCTCATGGGAAAATCAGACATCAGTTACATAAATAAGTGCAAAATTGCAGTGTTGTCAACCGCTACAAGGGAGGGTGACTGTGCACTGAGAGCATAGACTAGGATCTGAGCTGGGAGCTGGCTGAGGGATCAGCAAGAGTTGAAATGTCCCGAGATCTTGGGATGATGAAAGCTTAACAAGCAAAGAGGGAGCACAACCCGCTCGAAGCCACCAGTGGGACTGGAACCCAGAGAACAAAGGCGAGCATGGTGCCAGATGAGCCCAGAGGCCTCCCCAGGGGTCGAGTCATCCAGGGTGGGGGCTAGCTGCATTTTAAGTGGAAGTAGGGGTCCAGATGAAAGCAGCACAATCAGATGTGTCTTTTGGGAGGACCATTCTGGAAGGACTGGAGAGTGGAGGGAAAGGGCCTGGAGGGGTTGAGGAGACTTGTGTGAAGCTCTGCAGTGTTCCAGATGAAAGATGATGTGAGTGACGGGACACTGCAGTAGGTGCAGGGGTGCAGGAAGACTCCCAGGCTCCCAGCTTGCCACACAGGATGGGCAGTGGTGCCTTTCACAGAGAATCAAGTCAGCCGAGAGGGCCAGGTGTGCGGGCCATGACTTCACTGACAGGAATGGCTTTTCTAATCGTTTCCCTGATTTCTGCTCTTTCAAACAGGGTAACTTCTTTCAAAATATTGGTTCCATCACCCTGTTTGCTGTTTTCGGGACGGCAATATCTGCTTTTGTAGTAGGTGGAGGAATTTATTTTCTGGGTCAGGTAAGAAAATCATCTTTGAAACACTTTGAAAGTCTTATATTCTTAGAGCTAGTGCAGGGAGGTGAGAAGGTGAAATGGGGCCACTTGGTGGGGCCTGGGTTTCACCCTTAGGGTAAATTCCTTCTGGAAGGAAATCCTAGTTTCATATGAGGCACAGTAGAGGCATGCTAAATTGTTTCAGAGTGTCCTGCAAGACCTTTGGTATCTGGAATTGAGTAAATCTTTTCCATAATCCCCCCCCAAAGTATTTTATTTTATTTGCAAACCAATACTGTCTTAAATTAGAATATCTAAAAATAAAGCCAAATATATGCCATCAAGAACTTCGAACAGTTGTCAGGTAGACTGAATTGGGATTGAATGCTGTTTTTTGATAAAAATTTGCATTTTAAAAATCAGAGATGTGCTTTTCTGCTGGCATTGGAGAAATAATAAAATCAAAGGTGATTCTGAATCTGTTCACTCAATTCTAAGCTGTCTACCTGTAGAATTATATACTCTGGATTTTCCACAATTGCTAAACCACTTCCCAGTGACATCAGTTGGATGGTCTCTACTTTAGACTTCAAATTAATTCAAATTAATTTAGACCAAACATCCCTAGGAAGGTAGTATCTGTAGTTTTGTACTATGCATGTCCATGCATGTCACGTTCTTTTCCTTTATTGTCAGTTGCAGAAAGTTTGCCTGTCCCAGTTCTGAAAATTAAGTTGAGGGTCAGGTGTCTGGGTGACAGGCAGATTTCTTTAACACATGTCAGCTGCTTTCTTCTCTCGATAGCCAAAGCCCATTCCATCGAATTTTCACCTATATTGCAGCTTTGATGGCACCAGAGTAAATCTGTCTGTCATGCAGCTTTCTTCATTGCTCAGTTTCTAGTATTAAATAAGAATAAACTTAAGGAAACTACAGTTAATTGGACTTGAAGAATGTAGCATTCTTTTCCATACTTTCATTGCATGCTGATGGAATGCATGTTTCAACTAAAGCTTAGGAGCCTTCTTTATTTTTCAAGTGGTTTGGGAACTGAAGATTAATGTCTTTATTAGTTTTAACAAAGCACTAATGGACATTTAAATCTTCTTGGCTGTTCTCCAGGGGTTTTTTTTGTGTCTGTGTGTTTGTGTGTTTTATTTTACAGGCTGATGTAATCTCTAAACTCAACATGACAGACAGGTAAATCCTTCATACTGTAACACCCATGCGACTGCTTTTCAGACAGGGGAAATTTTTCTCCACATTGCTTCCTGGGTGTGGTACTGTTCTATTCTCTCTCTGTATATTTATTTTTGGAAAGGATTTCTGCCATAGAATCTTACTCTGAGTTGATTTGTATCTCTGAAATGAATCAAAACTATACTAAAGACTTTTGAAGTCGGGCATTGCTGATTGGAATGATATAGTTTAAGCTTGGGAGGGAGTAACTTGCTCAGCTAACTGCCCTGCCCATGTGCACACATACACTGTACCTTTGTCTTCTTATTATTTCCAAGACTTCAGTCGCCATAACAAAAAGTTGTCTTCTTGATAGTTTAGAGATGGAGCAGGGAGTGACGGAGAAACTTTCCTCTAGGATTCCCACCAAACCTGCGGTGGGGGAAGCAGGGCCAAGACCTCTGTTGTGGATATTGTGGAAAGCCCTTCCATCTGAAGCCACTCCCGTGAGCACGTCCCATGAGCCCTGTCCAGAAATTCCCAGAATTGCATAGTGAGAAGCAGCCTCACTAGGTTGAGGCAGGTGTCTCTCAGAAGGTACCAGATCTAGTGCTGAAAAAGCACCCATGCAGAGCATCGTCTGGGTTCCCCCTTCTGAGAGTAGACAGCCTTGCTCAGTGTGTCTGCAGCATGGCTGAGGAGCTGGGCACCAGGGCCACATGTTCGTCCCCAGATCCTTGCCATCTAGCCAGTCAGAGCTTTCAGGATTTAGCAGCAGTTTAGCAACTTAGGACTAGAATCTGGGAACCCTTTTCGTGGAAACTGTGTCTCTGATAACAAGTCCAATCCTATTTCCACCTCCACTCACCACCCACCCCAGCCCAGGACAACAATTTTGGAGCTTTTGTTGTAAGACAGTTTTGATACATAAACAAGTAGTCCTATTCCATGGGAGCTGGAAATAAAACAGAACTGATGTCCTATGTTTGGTAGGTGCTTTGCAAATAAAAAGAAATGCCCAGTAAAGGAAGGTATCACAGTATTCAAATCTTGTACAAGTGAACAAAACAAGTATTCACTTGTTTTGGGGACAGCTGGTTAGAGATACAGACAATGCTGGATAACTTCCTGTGAAGTTGAATTGAATCAGTGGTTGGAATGTTCAGGTGAAGGACAGGAAAATAATTGCCCTGTAGACACACTGACTTAGAGCCAGGCAGTGTTTTCCTCTCCATGTGCAGAAGCTTCCTTTGCTGTTAGAAAGTGGCAGTCCCATGGATGGGGACTGCTCTGGGGTCGCAAACCCACATAGCTGCAGGGCCTGGCAGAGCACTTAAGAGAGGGAAGCCGGCCAGCTGTGAGTCTAGCGGTGGGGCAGCAGCCAGTGGGGGAACACACCCTGTATGAAGGGACAGCCACTTCTCAGTGCCAACTCATGATTACCATGTGGAAATCTGGGCCCAGAATTGGTGGCTATTTTAAATAATTTTTCTCTCAAAACCAGGCTAGGTTTCTAGATTTTTGTAGGGAATTTTCCAGTTTTCAAATATTGACAACTTGCTCAGTTTTTCACAAACACCATGCAGATCAAACATGAGAGCCACAGATTATCTTTTGCAACCTCTGCACTGTAGAAAACACAAAAGTAACTTTGTTGCACATGTTTCGTTTTGTTCTGGTGATATCTTGCTGGAGAGAGATTTCACTCTTAGAGATCCTGAATTATTTCACTGCCTTTGTCCATTTCTTTTTCATTTTGTTGATATTGCTATCTTTTGGGGTTATGGAATAAAGAAAGTACATTTTTAAGTTGAACTTCTGGCATTTAAAAGGTGAGGTCCTAAAGAAGTGAAGTGGAACAGCTGACAGCCAGGTGAAGTGACCCTCTTTCCATACAGACCTCTCAATGATTCAACAGTTTGTATTTCAGACTTTTCATCTTCACTGTCAGAAATACTCTGCCTCAATTTAGATTCCCAAGCAAACTAAATGTGTAATGTGATTTATACAAAGCATTTCCCCCAACCTTTTGTTTGTTTTGTTTTTTCAGTTAATTTAGAAAGTTTATTTTGCCAAGGTTGAGGACACGCACCCGTGACACAGCCTCAGGAGGTTCTGATGACATGTACCCAAGATGGTCAGAGCAGTTTGGTTTTATACATTTTAGGGACACATGAGACATCATTCGACTTATGTAAGATGAACGTTGCCCCAACCTTTCACTATGAAACATTTTAAACATACAGAAAAGGTGAAGCATTGTACAATGAATACCCATAAACAAATTTAAAAAAAAATAAAATAAAAAGTATATCCTGCAGGGGTAGGAGAGTCATAGGACAGGGAACCTGGGAGCCTGGGCTGGGCCTGCACGTCACTGAGGCTGGAGTATAGTGGCATGATCACAGCTCGCTGTAGTCTCAAACTCCTGAGCTCAAGCTATCCTCCTGCCTCAGCCTCCCGAGTAGCTCGGACTACAGGTGTGTGGTACCACTTCCAGCTAATTTGTGTGTGTGGAGGTGGGGTTCTCTCTATATTGCTCAGGCTGGTCCTGAACTCCTGAGCTCAAGCCATCCTCCCACCTCAGCCTCCCAAAGTGTTGGGATTACAGATGTGAGCCACTGTGCCCGGCCCAGGATATACTTTTTAGACATTGTCCTCCTTCCTTCACGGCCTCTGGTGATGTGGCTGTGGTTGATGAGAGTGGGAATAAAAGAGCAACCAGAAGCTCTGTCTGGGTTGTGGTGCACGGGCCTGGGGACCAGCTACCAACAAAATAGGATCTCCCAGATGGGCAGTTGTTTAGTGGAGTTACCTTCCCTTTCCTGCTTCCCTTCCTTCTTCCCGCCTGCCTGCCTGCTTGCATTCTGCAAGTGTCTCTGGGCCATGCCCAGTACAGACCCTGGGAATTCACCCATGATGAAAACCCAGCGTCCACTTCCTTGGAGCTCATAGGCCTGTGATGACCTCTGTGAGGACAGGCAAAGTCTGGGAACTGAATCCTCAGCCTGGGATCCGGAGGCACTCTGGTTTAATGCACATGAATCACATTCACAGGCAGCTACCATGGAAACCAGAAGCCAAATGATTGACTTCTGAAGAGACCTATACCTGGCAAGGCAGCCAGGCATTTCCTCAGTCAGCTCTCCTCTCCCTGACCCTGCAGCCAAAAAATCACCCATCGAAGGCTGCTCAGGCCGAGCATCCTCTTCCCCCTAGACCCAGGCTTGGTGAGGGTGGGTCATCTCTGGCTAACGACTGACACAGGCTGGGAACCTGGGAGCCTGGGCTGGGCCTGCACTTCACTGAGGCTGGAGTATAGTGCTCAGGCAGTCGTCTCTGGCTAATGACTGACACAGACTGGCCCTTGGGGGCTCCATGTTTTGGCTGGTGTTGTGGAAGGGGGCAGACCCACCATTCTGCTGCCCTGGAAAGAAAGTTGCACCAGGCATGGCACAGAGGCTTGTGGGAAAATCACCAAAGGGCAGGGAGAGTGAATTGTCCAGGCTCATGTGGCCCATGAGGCCCCTTGAGGGAGCTGGTCCTGCCTCCCTTGCCAGCTTCCTATGGCTCCTGCCACTCGCCCCACCCCCGCCACCACATGCACCTTCCTTCTGTTCCTCAGGCAGCAGGCTTTCTCTCACCTCAGGAGTCGCTTGCTGTCACCTCTGCCTGCAGCTCTTAGCCTGGCCAACTGCTGCTTAACATGTAGGTTCTTGCTTACATGTATCATCCTTTCAGAGAGGCCTCTCCAGAACCCCCCCATCTAAGTGGCTCCCACACGCACACCCACACCCACACCCACACCCCACCTTCTCACGTCACCTCAATTGATTTCTCGGGTCACACTTGCTGTTGTCTGAATTTGCCTTCATCTCTGGGTATTGCTGTATCTACTGTTGGGGGGAGGAGTACCAACTCTGGGCAGATAGCCTGGCTCTGCCACTTGTTAGCTGAGTGACCTTGAACAAGTTACTTCATCATCCTGTTGTCCCTCGTTTTTCTCCTCTGTCATCGGGGCAGTAGTAGCAGTCTCTCATACAGTCACTGACTGGATTGTTGAGTCACCGTATGTGACGTGCTTAGAACGGTGCCGGCTGTGGTAGCCTCCATGCCTGAAACATGTTAGACAATCAGCACATACCTGCTGGGGGTGATAAGCTCTTCACGGGGACTGTCAGTGAGGTCACTGGCCCAGTTAGGAGATGGCCTCAGTGTTTCTATCGGCTGTCCACGCCACTCACCCCCAAAGCACACTGGGGTTGCTCCTGGTTTTTGACACTTTCTTAGATGTTGCAAATCTGAGTGCAGGCTGGGATTGGTCACAGACAGCACTCCAAGGGGCTGGTGGCAAGGGGCAGAGCAGAGGTCAGATGCAGGAGTTCATGGGCCATTTGACTCCAGCTGCTCTGACCTGTGGAACTGGGCGGTATATAATAAATATATCTAAGCAAAAGTCTCTCTTCCGTCATTGGTCAAAGTCAAGTCTCTGTGTTGACAGTAGAAAACCAGGCCATTCCTAACAACTCAACTTAGAGTGGGCCTTTCACACTCCACCCACAATGTCAACAGCAGATAAGTGGGAAAAAATATGCTACCTTCTATAGTTATTTCAGCTCTAGTGTGTAGTTTTGCTTTCTGTTAAATATGGCCTTTGACTTTAATGCTTTAATATGTAGACCAGGTGACACACATTACAGAATCTCCCCTTCCCTCTGTCTCTTACAGTTTTGCGTTTGGCTCCCTAATATCTGCTGTTGATCCAGTGGCCACTATTGCTATTTTCAATGCACTTCATGTGGACCCCGTGCTCAACATGCTGGTCTTTGGAGAAAGTATCCTCAACGATGCAGTCTCCATTGTTCTGACCAAGTAAGTATGGGGCAGAGAACAGACTTTGTTCATGTGACAGAACTAAAGATCCTTGTAATGAAGGGACAGATATTTCCACGCAGCATGTGTACAGTTGCTTGTCCTCTGGGTGATCAGTTCACCCACTATCTTTCTCCATCTTTCTGTCCTGACAAGCCTTGATGTGCTGCAAGAATATGGTCAGGTTCCAGGGGTGGTTAAAAGAGCAGAGTCCCCCTTTTTTTTTGAGACAGAGTCTCACTCTGTCACCCAAGCTGGAGTGCAGTGGCTTCATCACAGCTCACCGCAGCCTCAACCTCCTGGGTTCAAGTGATCCTCCCACCTCAGCTTCCCGAGTAGCTGGGACTTACAGGCACCTGCCACCATGCCCAGCTAATTTTTAAAAAAGTTTTTGTAGAGACAGGGTTTCACCATGTTGCCCAGGCTGGTCTTGAACCCCTGGGCTCAAGCAGTTTGCCCACCTCAGCCTCCCAAGGTGCTGGGATTATAGGTGTGAACCATTGCTCCTGGCTGTGCCCACCTTTTTTGGCCTACCTTTTAGTAGCAGTTTCTGAGCCCAGCTTCTCAACATCACTGAGGGTGCTTATTAAGTGTAACATTCCTCGGCCCCACCCTCAGAGCCTTCTGATTCATTTGGTCTGGGGTGAGTCCCAAGACCATGGGTTTTTAATAAGTTCCCCAGATATGATGAAGTGGCCTGTTGAGGGGTCAATGTTCAGGCAACATCATTGGAGACAAAAGCAGTAGACAGAGGCCCCACTAGCTGTTGCATGTCACCTTCGTTTTCACAACTTTAAAATAAGGTAGGAATGCTGATAGGTGCCCTGCCTTAAGATGCTATTGTGTAAACCCTGCTTTGGAAACTGCAATTTGTTTTCAAATAGTTGTTGGTATTACTGCCCTAATTGATGGGATCTGAGAAGTTAATGATGAATAATAAAATGTCAAGAAGTCATTGGGGGCCAGGCGCAGTGGCTCAGTCCTGTAATCCCAGCACTTTGGAAGGCCGAGGCGGGTGGATCCTCTGAGGTCAGGAGTTCAAGACCAGCCTGGCCAACACGGTGAAACCCTGTTTCTACTAAAAATACAAAAATTAGCTGGGCATGGTGGCAGGTGCCTGTAATCGCAGCTACTCCAGAGGCTGAGGCAGGAGAATCACTTGAAACTGGGAGGCGGAGGTTGCAGTGAGCTGAGATCACACCACTGGATTCCAGCCTGGTGACAGAGCGAGACTCCGTCTCAAAAAAAAAGAAAAAAAAATTTTAGCTGGGTGTCATATCACGTGCCTGAGCTATGATGGAGCCATTGCAGTCCAACCTGGGCAACAGAGTGAGACCCTGTCTTAAAAACAAAACAAAACAAAATCATTGGGAAAAGGAAATGCATTTAAGATAATCTCAAATATATTTTTCTGATGCAGGGATATTTCCTTGAACTCTGCATTTTTTGGTGGTTGTTAACATGCAGTCAAGAAACCCAAAGAATTTTGCCAAAACACAGAAAAGGCACAGACAAAGCAGTTGAAGGAAGCCAGGCATGGTGGCTCATGCCTGTAATTCCAGCTACTCCGAAGGCTGAGGTTAGAGGATCATTTGAACCCAGATGTTTGAGCTCAGTCTGGACAACATAGCAAGACTCCATTCTCCCACCTCCCTGCAAAAAACCCCAAAGCAAGTGGAGAAAAGAGCCCTGGATAGTGTATCAAAAATGAGCTAAAAGAACGTTAGAGGCCAGTCTGTGTTCTGTTAGGCAATAGAATTTCCATTTAGCTGAATACTGACTTACTGCCTTTGCTAAAGCGTAACCACTCTGTGTAGTTGGCATTTTCTTAAAAGTTTTTTTATAGACTATATTCAGAATTTTTATGTTGGAATAAAATGCCTCAGCCTAGGACTAAAATTGAGGACTGAATAGTTAAATAAGATATTACAGGGCCGGGCACAGTGGCTCACGCCTGTAATCCCATCACTTTGGGAAGCTGAGGCAGATAGATCACTTGAGGCCAAGAGTTCAAGACCAGCCTGGCCAACATGGTGAAACCCCATATCTACTAAAAATACAAAAATTAGCCAGGCGTGGTGGCGCACGCCTGTAATCCCAGCTACTCGAGAGGCTGAGGCAGGAGAATCGCTTGAACCTGGGAGGCAGAGGTTGAAGTGAGCCAAACTCACGCCACTGCACTCCAGCCTGGGCGTCAAAGTGAGACTCTGTATCAAAAAAAAAAACAAAAGAAAAGATACTACGAGAAAATCATCCAGCATCAGGTAATGTGACATCTTTTCCTTTTCTTTCCCTGCCCCAGTTATTGTTTTCACCATGTTTGCTCAGTTTTTGCCCTATTTTTGCCCTTCCCTTGCAGGAGGAGCTTACCAGATACTGTCTGATGGCAAGAGATGCTCAACAGTCCTTAAAAAAAAACCAAACTTAGAAGTATTTTTGTTATTCTAAGCGTAGTACATATATTCTTATAAAATTTAGGAAATACACAAGCAAAAAAGGGAGAAATATCACACACATTGCTACTACCTAGAGATATAGTTAACAATTTGGTGTAAATATATATACATTTTATTTAAATAGGCTTATACCCCAAATACTGTATTCTATTTTCCATTGAACACAGTTGATAAAACAGTCTTCTGGAACATCATTTTACTGGTTACGGAGTATTCCTTTTTCTGGGTTTACTGTGATCTACTTAGCCAATTTCCTACTATTGGCTTTTTCATGTTTCTCTTGGCAGAAATTTCTATAGCTTTATTAGGATATTATCAAACAGCATGCTGCAAGACCTTTAAAAAATCCGATGGTAATATTTTTTCTTAAGATCTACTCTGAAAGCTGCTTAGCGTTCTGGTTTTTACTTTTATCTCGTATCCTGGCTACACGTATTGAACATTTTTGACAAGGAATTTTGTCCAACTTGTAGGTGACATCATGAGTTATTTTTATGCATTGGGAGCTAAACTCAATTGCTTTGTCTCTGATTTTTTTAAAGAAAAATAATTTTTCAGAGGTAGGATCTTTTCTGAGCTTTTCCAGTTCTGTTATAAAAGCCAAAGATTAGGAGACTTTTTCTATTTAAGATGGGAAATGATGGAGTCATTGTCGGTAGCCAGAGGTTCTTCCTGGAAAAGTGCTTTGGAAACCCAAGATTGGTCTGGGCACAGTGGCTCATGCCTGTAATCCCAGCACTTTGGAAGGCCAAGGCCCGTGGATCACCTGAGGTCAGGGGTTTGAGACCAGCCTGGCCAACATGGTGAAACCCTGTCTCTACTAATAATATAAAAATTAGCTGGGCGTGGTGGTGGGTCCCTGTAATCTCGTCTACTTGGGAGGCTGAGGCAGGAGAATCTCTTGAACCTGGGAGGTGGAGGTTGCAGTGAGCCGAGATCACACCACTGCACTCCAGCCAGAGCAACAGAGCGAGACTCCATCTCAAAAAAAAAAAAAAAAAAAAAAGAATCCCAAGATCGCCTATGATAACAGTTCCCACGGTTGGATCTGTGGAGCATGCATGTATAGTTTCCGGCCTCCTCCTCCACCAGCAGCACTGCCACTGCTGAGACCCAAGCTGACTGGAGAATCAGCCTCATGACCTCTCCAGCCACAGCTGGTCATCTGCCATCAGCATTTGGTGAGGGACCTTTATGTGCCAGACACTGCTAAGAGCCAGGTGGATTTGATGAACTCGGTCCATGATGGGCAAAAGGTGCCCATAGAGAAGTGAACATGGTGCCTTAAGCCGGAGGGGCTCAATGACCAGACCATTAAGGATATAAGGAAGGCTTCTCAGAAGGAATGTCTTGTGAGCCAGACCTGGGAGGCTCATTTTCAGACAGAAGAGAGAGAAAAGGGGCATGTCAGACTTCCCCTGCCCTTTTTTTTTTTTTTTTTTTTTTTAGTTCAAAAGAAAAATATGCTCCTGGGAGCTGTTGTCACTTTTCCTTGGTTATCAGCTAGAATCACATCTGGTTTTGAAGAGGTATACTTCATAAACGATCATCTCTAAAGTGAGCTGACACATTTATCTTTGCAACTGAATATGTGAATGAATTACTCCCTTTTTAATGTTGTTACCTTCATGAGTGCCGGAAAGCAAATGTCTTCTGTTTCTTCAGTAACTTGAATTCATTTTCAACTTTGATTCGTTGCTATGATAGTGTGTTCTTAAAGTCACTGCTGTAGAGGAAACCTTTTGTTTTCTCCCGCTACAGTTTAAGCTCATGCAATGGACCCTGAAGCAATACTCCCTTTTATTCTTTAAGGTATGAGAAACATGACCTTAAGAAACAAAACATAGAAAATTACTAGGCCAGAAAGAGTCCAAATTCTACTTTCATTACCTGGAGTTCAGAAACCATTGCCCCAGTCCTGGATCTGCTGTTAACCCTTTGTGTGACCCTACCCCGTGACTCACTCTCTTTGGGCCTCAGGCTACTCTGTATAAAAAGAAAGCAGTGAAACCAGCCTGGGTGCCTGCCAGGGTAGAGACGTGGGCTGAGGCCGGGCACTGTATGTGTGTGGCCTGCAGATCCATTTTTGGGAACTGCGGGTGATCATGGCCTTCAAAAGCACTTTTCCAGTATGAGCCCTTGTTGGCTGTCACATTCTTCAAGGTGGGATGTTAACCTGTGATCTGCTAGAAAGAAGGGGGATTGGGAAGATTGTGTGTTCAGATGAGTCTGCAAAGCTTTCACATGAAGAAAGTTAGATTTCTTTTTTGCAAGACGTCTCAGACCTTAATTATGTTATTTTGTGCTGTAAATTTCCTCGAAAGGCTTTCTGAGGTTATTTGACCAAGCTACCTTTTCACCTTACTCTGCTTTAAAATGATACCAATCCTGGGGCCTGGCACGGTGGCTCATGTCTGTAATCCCAGCATTTTGGGAGGCCAAGGCAGGTGGGTCACTTGAGGTTAGGAGCTCCACACCAGCCTGGCCAATATGGTGAAACCCTATCTCTACTAAAAATACAAAAAAAAAAAAAAAAAAGTCGTTGGGTGTGGTGGTGCGCATCTGTAATCCCAGCTACTTGAGAGGCTGATGCAGGAGAATCGCTTGAACCTGGAGGCAGAGGTTGCAGTGAGCCGAGATCGCACCACTGCACTCCAGCCTGAGCAACAGAGCAAGACTCCATCTCAATAATAATAATAATAATAATAATAATAATAATAAAACAATACCAATTCATGACATGGTGATTGATGAAGCTGAATATTACTGTTGAGTGTTCTTTGTTTCATTTGCTGGGTCAATAAAAAGGTATTGACTCTCTTTTGTGTGCGAGGCTCTGCTTTAAGCCCCGGACATAAGGCAGCAAACAAGATGGACACAGGCTTCATCCTCATGGAATGAGGCACTACAGTTTCCCATGCTGTGAAGGAGAAGTCAGGCATCATGACAAACTTTACATGGGCAGGCCTGCGTGAAGGGATCAGGGCAGGTGTCCCTGAGGGAGTGGCACTGATCCTGGGTTCTGAGGGATGAATAGGGAGTTAGCTGGGGCAGGGAAAGGTGAATGGTGACCACCTGGGAGGTGCTAGTGATAGTGTGGCCCAGATGTTTAGATTTGGGGAGGAGGAGGTAAGGTCAGAGAGGTATGGCAGGTGGGAGCCAGGTAAAACTAAGACTGGGCTTCCTGGTGATGTCAGGAAACTCTGAGTTCTTAACAGGCTGATAACCCGATCAGGTGTGCCTTTGAAAAGGATCAGTTAGGCCCTGTATTTCTAGCACTTTGGGATGTTGAGGCAAGTGAATTGCTTGAGCCCAGTTCAAGACCAGCCTGGGCAACATGGTGAAATCGCATCTTTACAGAAAATACAAAAACTAGCCGAGTGTGGTGATGTGTACCTGTGGTCTCAGCTACTCTGGAGCTGACGTGGGAGGATCACTTGAGCCTCGGGAAGCAGAGGATGCAGTGAGCTGAGGTCACTGCACTTTGCCTAGGTGACAGAGTGAGACCCTGTCTCAAAAACAAAAAGAGGGGGATCATTTAGGCCACTGAGTGGAGAACAGGGTTGGTCTGTAGGAAGATAAGGATGTTGAGAGAGAGCTCAGTGAGACTTATCCGTGGGAGTAAAGGGCAGTAGGGGAGGGAGAAAAGGGGATGGATTTAAGAGACAGGAGGAGGATATTTAATGAGAATAACTCCATGTTAATGATGTAATGCTTTTACCTTTGAGAACAAAACCAACAATTAAATTTAATAACATCCGACATTTTACTTTGTTCTGTTACAGTAAAAGGAAAGTTCTTTGATTTCTTCCTCCTTAATGTCTCCTATATCTTCCCTCTCAGCCTGAAACCTTGGGCATTTTTTCTTTGGGTAGCTCCATTCTAATCTGACTTCTTGCCGTAGCCTCAATTTCAGGTTTTATCACAAGATTTCTGTACTGAAATCCTTCCCATTGACTTCCGAGGCCTTCAAGCTGAAATACCAGTGCCTTTCCCGGGCTGTTCCCTGTTCCTCACCTTGCCTCCTGCCACTGTCCCACCCCCACCTCCCCCGCCCCACCACTCCCCCTGCCACATTTTAGCTTCATTAATCTCGGTACTTGAAAGTTCCTACAATGGGCTGCATTTGCATGGGCTCCCTTCCTTTGCAGATGCTGTTCCCTCACTGGGTGCCTTCCCCCATTTCTTCACCTGGGCAAGTCGTTTTTATCCCAAATCTAAACCCACCCCTCCCCCCGCCTTTTTTATTTTTTATTTTTTTGAGACAGAGTCTTGCTCTGTTGCCCACGCTGGAGTGCCGTGGTGCAATCTTGGCTCACTGCAACCTCTGCCTCCTGGGTTCAAGCAATTCTCCTGCCTCAGCCTGCTGAGTAGCCGGGATTACAGGCATGTGCCACCACACCCGGATACTTTTTGTATTTTTAGTAGAGTTAGGGTTTCACCATGTTGGCCAGGCTGGTCTGAACTCCTGCCCTCAAGTGATCCGCTCACCTCCCAAAGTGCTGGGATTACAGGTGTGAGCCACCACGCCGGGCATCAGCCCACATTTTCTCAAGCACCTTCCTTGAGCCCAGCCAGTCTGAGTTAGTTACCCACCCATCCTGTGTTCCTACAGCCCTCTACCCTTCCTGCAGATTGTCTTTAGTGTTCATCTTGTTTTCTCCCTCGTTAGCCTGAAGGGAGAAGCTCCTTAAGGGCAGCAACTTTGCTCTCATCTCTGAACCCCAGAAAGTAACAGGACCTGGGACAAAGTTGGTGAACAATAGACGTTTGGCTGACTGAATGAATGATGGTATGAATGAATGAATGAATGAGGGAATAAGCAAGAGATAAGTTTTAAGTTAATTTCTAAGACCTTTGTATATATAACATTTTAACTTCTGTTTTCTTTCATTTCCTAGCACAGCTGAAGGTTTAACAAGAAAAAATATGTCAGATGTCAGTGGGTGGCAAACATTTTTACAAGCCCTTGACTACTTCCTCAAAATGTTCTTTGGCTCTGCAGCACTCGGCACTCTCACTGGCTTAATTTCTGCATTAATATCCTTTTAATGTGATGAGCATACAGGGTTGAGATTATTCCTGATGGCTTCTGTCTCTAGCCAGTTTCTCCTGTTTTTTAAGGGGGCCAATTTTAGATGAAGGTTTTGCTTAAAGGAGGATTTTTTGCTTAGTTTTTGTTTGAGAAACACTCTAACTCAAGGATTTTTAAATTTAACATGTGAAATTTAGAATGTCACTTTTCAAAGTTTAAAAAACATGTACACTGTTGGATATCAGATATGATTTTGGGGACCTCTCAGTTCCCAGAGTATGATAACCACACTCAGATGATTTTCATTTTCTGCCATCTTACTTTTCACATTTGGAAAATTAGAAATTAATTTTCTTTGAAAATGTCAAATAGACCAGGTGCAGTGGCTCACACCTGTAATCTCAGCACTTTGAGAGGCTAAGGCTGGAGAATTGCTTTCGCCCAGGAGCTGAGCAATGGAATATAGTGAGACCTCGTCTCTAAAAAATACATAAATAAAAATAAAATGTTAAACAGAGAAAATTTTTATCCCACTGAAAGTGTTTATCCAGAAGGATTGAAAAAGGGGCTTTCAAAATGTGTTCCATTGAGTTATTTGCACTGATTTTGTTATTTAACAACCAATAAGCTTTTCTAGCTGGAGATGGAAAGAGTCTTGTTAAGGCCAATGACACCTTTATTGCTGTAGAAATTTCATTGTGTTTAAAATAGTAACAGGCAGTAGACCACTTTGGTGCGCGCCTAAGCCTCTGTCTCAGGGAGATGGCCACCTGGCCCGCCTCCATGAGCAGTTTGTTTCACAGATGGCCGGAAGAGACTCTTTTGCCTGGTTACAGGCATATTTTTCTGCCATCCTGTTGAATTTTCCCATCAACTCCTTTATCCAGAAGTCTAAAGGCTCTATTGAGTTGGCTGACAGCTTCTTATATTGTACCAATAAACAGAATGGAAAAGAAAATTTTTTCCAGTTCAATATTTTCCTCTATATCTTTTTCTTTAAAAAAAAAAAAAAAAGTATCTATCAAAATGAAGTGGAGCAAATGGGTACTGCGAGCTCCAGTAGAGGCATTGTGAATGATATTTCAATATATACAAGGCTCTCTCCTTTTACAGGGGCGTGAGTTTGGAAATCTCCAGGAATAGGAAAGACTGCGCTTCAACAGGGCCTGGAACCCCAGTTAGAACAGCAATTCACACTAGTTGTCTTTGACTCAAAACTGATGGGGAAAGCAAGATGGGTAGCATTAGTGATCTCATCTGATGTTGTTGGAGGAGTCAGGGTGATATGGCCCTGGGAGGAACCGGGCAGAGTGAACTGACCTTGGTGTGTCTGCAGCTCCAGCTTCGTGCCATGGCCCAGCACATCCCCAGCCCTCTAAGTCAGCATTTTTAAATGAGTTGACTTAGGTTGATTTTCATCTTCCACCACCGTTTATCTCCGGAATTTACATTTCTTAGTGTTTTGTTTCTTATAGCAACAGTCTCCCTACAAAGGGGAAAAATCCATAATGACAAATTTTCATTTGTGACCTTGGGACGTTCCAAAATCTTCTGTACCTGTTTACTTCATATATTTGGAAAGCAGCAGTTTTGTGACTTCTCCACCTCTCCCATCAACGCTCCCTCGATTCTCCGTCCTTGACAGTTGTCATTTACGTGCTGAAGCATATTGACTTGAGGAAAACACCTTCCTTGGAGTTTGGCATGATGATCATTTTTGCTTATCTGCCTTATGGGCTTGCAGAAGGAATCTCACTCTCAGGTAAGTGACAGAGAGCCTGAAAGTGCTGTGGTGATGGCATTTTGTCCTGCCTGGTGAAAGAGGCTTTGTCAGTTGGGTCACCTTTAGTCACAAGAGACAGTCACAACTCAGAAGAGCTTAAGTAATAAAGGGAATCTATTGGCTCCCTAGAAACACATCTGGATTTAGGTCTGCCTGGATCCAGTAGCTCAAACAGTCACATTGGTGTCACGGTCACATTTTCTCTTAACCTGCCCTCTCTTATTTAGCCCATCAGTCCTATGAGGCTCCCTCAGAGGAGGGTAGCCTGTGGGAGGGAGGTACTGTGAAGGTCCCTATTTTACTGATGAGCAAACTTGAGGTTGAGTGAAATTAAGTAAATTACTCAAGGTCACAGCTGGGATTGGTGGAACAACGATTCAAACTAGTTGTCTTTGAGTCAAGAACCAGTGCTTAGAACCCTCCTCTAATACAACTCCCTCCAAAACAGATCATCATGAAACCGTGTACTCAGTGCTACATAGAGGGACAAGCAAAGTGTGGCGGTGACATAATGTTGGGCGTTTTTGGACACAGTTTACCAGTATTCAGTTTTTTTATGCTGCTACCACCCATGTGGCATAGGTACTAAGGTTGTCATTAGCCCAGAGCTGCACTGCACAGGCAGTGGTGGTAGTGAGATTGACAGCAGAGGCCCAGAGCCTTTTCCCTGCACCCCATTGGAGGAGGGCACACAGCTCCCAGCAGCAGGGACGACTCTGATGTGGCCCTAGAAGATGATACTCACCAGCTGGAGGAGGGGTGGCCACTTACAGAGTGATGGTCTTGGTAATGGTCACCTGGTAATCAGTCAGCAGCCCCTGTTGGCAAAGCTTGGCTTAGTTGGGCTTTCTGCCTACAAGTGGCAGTCAAGTTTGTGTCCCCAGCTTGTTACATTGTAAGGGTGTTGACCTGAAAATGGAACATGACTCACTCCTGTTCCTGTGTGAGGGGGCAGCCAGGTGGGAAGGACTCTGCCCTGGAAGTCTGATCCCATCCTTTAAGTGAAGTCCCTTCAGAGGCCTTGTTCTGGAAATGAGGCACTATTGCAGGAATGTTTTGATCTGTGCCACAGGATGGCAGAGATTTTCTTTTTTATTAACTTTGTTGAGGTATAATTTACACACAATACATGGACCCGTTCTAAGTATATAATTCCATGAATTTTGGCAAATGTGGACAGTCATAACTACCCCTACAGTCAAGGTGTGGCATATTCTTATCGCCCAACGTGGCTCCCCTGTGCCCTTCTGCAGTCAGTCCCCCTGCCTGTCCTGAGCCCCGTTCTGATCTGCACTGTCATTGTAGTTTTGCCTTTTCCTGAATGTCATTTAAATGAAATCATGGGGTACATAGTCTTTTGTGTCTCCTCTCTTTCAGTTGTCATGTTTTTGAGAGACATCCATGTTTTTGCATGTGGCAGTAGTTTATCATTCTTATTGCACCACGGTTTATTTGTCTGTTCACCATTTGAAGGACATTTGGGGTTTTCCAGATTTGGGCTAAGAACAGTTTGCATGTGTTTTCATTTTTCTTGGGTAAATACCTAGGATTAAGGCTGCTAGGTCATATGGTAAGTACATTTTTACTTTTTTAGAAACTGCCCAGTGTTTTTCAAAGTGACTGTATCATTTTACATTCCCATCAGAATGTATGAGAGAGTGCCAGTTGCTTCATATTGCCACCACACTTATTTTAATTTCAAAAAGTTTAGCTGTCCTGATAGGTGTGTAGCAACTGGATTTAGATGTGCCTTGGTGTGGTTCTTTTTATATTCACCTTTGGTTCATTGAGCTTCTTGGGTTTATAGTTTATATGAGTTTATAGCTTTCATCAAATTTGGTAAACTTTTGCCTATTTCTTTATAAACATTTTTTTGTTCCTCCTTCCTCTTCCCCTTGAGACTTCAATTTACGTGTTATGAGAGGTAGCATGCTATTGGCCCACAATATGCTTTGCCTTTTTTTTTTCTGTCTTTTTTTCCCTATGTGCTTTATTTTGGTTATTTCCTTTTGCCGTGTCTTCAAAGTCACTGATCTTTTCTTCTGCCATGTGGAATCTCCTGCTAATCCTACCCAGTGTATTTCTCATTTACATATTCTATAATTCATCTACAGAAGATCCCTTTGGGTTGTTTTCATTTCTTGCATTTCTCTCTTCATATTCATGTTTTCTTCTATGTTCTGGAGCATATGAAACATTTCTAATTGCTGTTTTAATGTCCTTGTTTGCTGATTGCATCGTCTCTGTCAACTCTAGGTCTGTTTTGTTGTTGATTTTTCTCGTGCTTATAGGTCACATCTTCTTGCTCTTTGCTTTTACTAGTAAGCTTTGATTGGATGTCAGTCATTGTGAACTTTATGTTGTTGAGTACAAGATTTTATTGCATTCCTTTATGGAGTTCTGGACTTTTAAATATATATATATATATTTTTTGTTTTTTGTGTGTTATTTCTGGACTTTTCTTCTGGCATGTATCTAAGTCTCTTGGCATCAGTTTAATCCCTTTTGAGGCTTACATTTAAACTTTGTTAGGACTGGTGCACAGTAGCAGGGCCCTAACTAAGGTGTCTCAGGTATTGTGAGCTCACTCCACTCTGGCTGGTGGGAATACAAATCCCAGCCCCATGTCAGCTTCTGGAATTGTTCAGTCTACTTCTTTTTAATGATTCTTTCCCCAGCCTCTTGTTTCATCCCACATATATACTGATCAGTATCAGTCAAAGACTCAAGGGGACTTTACAGTAGATGTCCAAGAGCTCTGTTTCTGTGCAGCTTCCCCGACTCAACAGGACAGCCCTCTAAAGCCAAAGCCTCAGCCTCAGACCGTCAGCTCAGCAGGGGGCCTGGGGAAAGAGTGGCCACCTTGTTTGTTTCCCTTCTGGCAGGAATCACAGTCCTACCCTATCTTTTGTCCCATGTCAGAAAATAGTTTTGTTTCATATCTTGTATCAGGTTTTGTAGTTATGTAGAGCAGGACAGTGTTCTGTGTAGCAGTAATTTCTTCAGACACAAAGCGGAAGTCCCAGTGGTCTTTAGTGACTCAGTTGACAGAATTTTTCTACCCAGTCGCTATCTGGAGTTGCACATGGGTGCTGCGTGAGCAGCACAAGGAGGAAGCAGAGTGGACTCGCCATTTTCAGGGTTTTGTTTTTCATCGCAAACCAGTTCACCAGGGTAATTCCATCCTGGTGTCTGCCATGAGGTTCCCTTTCTTTACTGAATGTTGGCACTTACAAAAAGGTTACCTGTGAGTCATTTGGCTCTAGCCTAGCTATTTTTACATCTATTTTTTTAAATTGTTCCTCTACCCCCTTGAGATGATCACTAAGTACCTGTTGGCAAAGATGTGTTTCATGCATCTGTTTGGAATCTGTGATTAAAATCAGGGAGTGTTTTTCTTACCTTCTTTTCAGAGTGGCAGTGTTTCCTGTTGAGAGGGGTTTCATTTCCTTAGGGACCTTGCTCCACACACAGCAGTGCCAGCCAGGAACACCAGATCTGCCTCTGGGTGAGGGAACCTGCCCTGTCCGTGCTTTGCCTTTTGGGTATTTGTCCCACAGGGTTTTCAGAGAGGGGCAGGATGGCCCTGTGTGGTGTGTGGGTACTCTGCGCTGCACTGTGAAAGCACAGATGGAAAGCGTGGTGTTTCTGCTGTCTTCACCTTCCTTTGTGTGCTCCCCTTTTCCTGACTATCACAAAGGACTGATCTCAAGTGGTTCCCAAGACTGTGGAGCAGGACATTCTCTTCCTAGGAAGTGGGAATTATTTATGTAAATCCACATGTAGGGAACACGGTTGTTAAGAACTGGAGCTGGATAACAGACAGACTTGGATTTGAATCCCAGCTCCACCTTTCATTGGCTGTGTAACCTCAGATTATAGACTTAATCACCCCATGCTCTACTTCCTCATCATAAAATAGACAAGTAAAAGGGCCAGCCTGACGCCTTTGCTGAGGACGAAGGGAGCAATGCAAGTGAGAGTCCTGATGGGGCATCTGTGCCACTACTGGGGTGGCCAGAAGTCCTGGTTTGCCCTCTGTCTCAACATGATGAATTAATAATATCCCCTTTTATTCTAAAAAATTCCTGGTATCCACAGCAAATCAAATAGTCTCCCTATTACTCAGCAAACGTTAGCTATTCTCAGAATATTCATTCTAATTGTATCCATGTTAACTATTTTTGTTGTTCCGTCAAGCCAGTTTTGAGGGCCACTTTGGCCTCTGACACTAAAGATTCAAAGATGAATAGACCCTGCTTAGGCAGAGTGGTTAGCAAACACTGGGCTTGGAGGGGATGGGACAGAGTGACATTGTCAGGGTGAGTCACAGAGGAGGGGACTTAGGGCTCGAAGGATGAGTTTGCAGGATTAATTATGACATAACTCTTTCTTTCTTTCTTTTTTTGAGATGGAGTTTTGCTCTGTAGCCCAGGCTGGAGTACAGTGGCGCCATCTCGGCTCACTGCAACCTCTGCCTCCGGGTTCAGGCAGCTCTCTGCCTCAGCATCCCGAGTAGCTGAGATTACAGGCGCCCACCGCCACGCCTGGCTAATTTTTTTTTTTTTTCTGTATTTTTAGTAGAGATGGGGTTTCACCATTTTGGCCAGGCTGATCTTGAAATCCTGACCTTGTGATCTACCCGCCTTGGCCTCCCAAAGTGCTGGGATTACAGGCATGAGCCACCACGCCCAGCCGACATAATGCTTTAAGATGTTGGCATGGGCCAGGCACGGTGGCTTACACCTATAATCCCAGCACTTTGGGAGACCAAGGCAGGCGGATCACGTGGTCAAGAGATGGAGATCATCCTGGCTAACATGGTGAAACCCCGTCTCTACTAAAAATACAAAAATTAACTGGGCATGGTGGCACGTGCTGGTAGTCCCAGCTACTTGGGAGGCTGACACAGGAGAATCGCTTGAACCCGGCAAGCAGAGGTTGCAGTGAGCCGAGATCCCGCCACTGTACTCCAGCCT